GTATATCTCCTACTTGAGATCACAATGAAGAACCATGTATATCTCTTACTTGAGATCACGATGAAGAACGGAAATTTGAGCATCTATTTAGAGAAGTAGCAATCATTGTAAAGCAACAATGAGATGATCATCTTTATGATAGTCAATTTAGCCACATGAGTAAAAGTTAATTCATAACCATCCCCAAGTCTTCTTTTGTAACAAACTAATCATGCCTTATAGCAATCTAAAGTATCATCAAAGCTTGGTCAAGTAAACCCAAGCAACCATTGGTTTTAGCAGTTGGAGGGCAATGAAAGCTTTCTTATGTATGATTATCCTCAACAGCTCAAAGTTGCTCAGTCATAGTCTCCTTGCAACAGCCATATTTACCAGCTTTTTGAATTGGCTGAATGAATATGAATTGAAGCCAATGTGTGAAAAGCATGCCAATTTAAAGGAAAAATATTCAGATAGACCATTAGGAACAGTTACCAAATTCCAAATATTGGGCTTAGGTGGAAAATCAATATGCGAGACCTTAAATAATGGGCCAGGCTCGAAAGTGATAAAGTTGAAAATTTTCTTTCATACACAAATCCAAGTCTGAATTATTCAGGAATAGAAATTCATTTATCAAAATTAGGAAAAACATATATACTTGGCAAAGGCCAATATAAGTGGGGAAGAAATTTTTATGTTCAAAGAGAATAATGTGACGAGATGCATTGGAGCATGGATCATAACAAATATAATCTTAGTATGAGTTCTATAACCTATATATGCACATTAAATTGATTAAGCAAAGAGTTTATGGCGTTCATGACCATTAAATGATAAAAGAACAAAACCAAGACATATGAATATCGTGATATTTAGGATACTTATAAAAGAGATGATAAAAATGATAGTCAATTTTCAAGACATACGATGATAATCTATTAATTAAATAAGTTGACATGCCCCTTGCTTCAACCCACAATTTAGGCGAACAAAAGATTTTAGCAAAAAATTTGTTCGAACAACAACAAATTAGTGACAGTTCACATATTCAACAACTCTAATTTGTTGTCTATAAGAACATGTCAATTGAAACATAATTCTCATTTAAAAAAAATCATAAAATTCAAGTGATATATAGTCACCTCAAGGATTAAAATATAACAGTTTCATTCTAGACAAAAATTGAATTTCAACGTAGGCTGCAAATTTCTAAATAACAATTAATACTTTAGATTTATGGCAAAGAAAATAAACCGGGTATAATTTGTGTAATTGTCAATGAATGTTACAAACTATTGATAATTCATATGTGATATAACATAAGTAATACCTCATACATTACAATGAAATAATTCTAAGAAATTCGCAGCATGAATAGCATGTAATGGAAAAGAAAAGGTGTTTCTTTTTTCAATTTTATATGTTGAGCCATAAAGAAGAAGATAATTAATCTTTATTCCCTAAAACAAGAATTCATCAAATGAGAATAAAATAGGATTCAAAAGGCATGATAATTAAAGACATATGCCATTATTTTTATTTACAATGGTACAACGAAGACAATCTGAAATGAAAGGATTCAAGAAAATAATCTTCCAACTTAAAACCCCTTCATGAGTATTCTCACCATCACTAGATCAAATGCAATACATCCATCACGAAAAAACAAAATATCATAATTATTATGTTCCTATTTAGATAATATTGAGAAAAAAGTTAAATAATTACGAAAACATCTTTCACGAAAAAACTAATATCCCAAATAGTATCAAAAAGTTTGAAATTACTACAAGCAAGTTGAATAAATATATGTTATATGGTCAAAAATCATGAAAAAGAAGCAAGAAACAAGGACCATGATCAGATGCATCATAATCCACAAGCCGAGCCAAAAAAGGGTAGAGCATTGGTGATTATTAGCATTAAGGTTGATGGGGCTAGGGTTGCAAATGAACTAAGTGTTCAACAAAACTACTCATGGCTTCGTTCAATTAAACCTCGTTCATAATTGTTTGATTAATTAATCAAACAAACTAGACACTTTCATAGATACTAGACTACAAAATGAATAAGCTTGAACAACTTATTCTTTAGTTCATTTATGTTCAACAACAGTATCATATAAAACCCGTGAACAAGCTTAATTAAGGCTTGATTATAGCCCGATTACAACTTGTTCAAAAGCAGTATTGTTTCAATAATTATTTTTAGGCTCGACAAGCATTATCTGAAGTGTCTCGTTCATTTTTCCTAACAAGCAAATTGTAAAACGTTTGATTATGGTTCGTTTATTTTGGTAAACAAACTTCTCGTTAAAAAACTCGATAAGAGCCTATAAGAATTAAGCTCATATTAAGCTCGAGCCAAGTTCAAACAATATAGTTATAAACGAGCTCGAGCTTAAACAAAATCTTAAAAGCTTTAATCAAGCTTGAAGAAGCTCTTAATAAATGAACCTAAGCTTGAACAAGCACCTGCATAGCTCGTCTCTACTTGGTTCATCGGCAGCACTAAATGGGGCTATACCAATCATCCACTAACCATTTCAAGAATAACAATTGATTTGTCTATAGTTGCTAAACCAATAGAATAAAAATCAAAAACAACTTATTTTGCGTTCAATCGGCGTTTTGAAACGTCTGGCATTCCTTAATAATGTGTCCAACTTTTAATAATAATTGCATAATAGTTTTGTAAGGCAAAATTTTAGAAGCCCATGCAACTAAAGCACTGCACGTGTTAGAAATATTTTCATTTGCTTTTCTCATGGGTTGCATAAGTATAAGCAATTGCATCATCATGCATTTTATGTTATTGAAAATGGTTTGTATTGCATTATGTTGCTCTACGCGAAGTGATTCTATAAAAAATGAAACCAAGAAATACATTACATAGCAAATTGGAATGAGAAGCCTTAAATTCTAGACAAAATTTCATCAAAAATTAATCTATCTTGTATTTGTTGGTGAAGCTCTCAAAAGACAAAGTGCTTCAACAAGTATCTTACAAAAAATTATATCAACAAATTTAAACCATATATTCTAAAATTAAGCTAAATAAACGTGGAAGAAAAAAATATCCTTGATTGTCACTAACAATTCAATATTATAACCTAAGATGCATGTATGCACTGCTTTGATTATAAATCTTTTATAAATATTCTCAAATATCTTTAACTATCTTGGATGGCCGCAGATTAAGGATGATCTTTTGATCAATGGATTTAAAGATACATGCAAGGACGCATGCAACTTTGATTTATCAATGAGCCAATCTAAAAAATTCAATGGAAAAGGGATCGCTCCCATAAATGTGTACACATATTTCTTCTCTTATGACAAATAATTAAAATTAAATTTTTTAGGCACAGTGATTTTTCCATGAGAGTCTTACACATGAAAGATCCAGCATAATTGTCATGAAGTCCTTTTAAGAATTTTTCTGATACGTCCCACAAGAGATGATTATCCAAACAAAATAAATTGTCATCTGAGGAGTCTATTAGGGAGACCCAAAAGAGCGTTTGGCATTATAAAGCGAAAGAGAGTTTCTAACATGTATTGGGATGGCAGTGCATGATTTTGTGCCTTTGAAGGAGAAGAAGAACAACAAACGCTCCAAATGAGATGAGACATGGCTCATTGAAAGCCTGCCACAAGGACTTAATATGAAGGCTCACCACACTTCCATTGCAATGAGAGACCATTGAGAGTTTTGGCAGAAGGGCTTACCAAACATCTACGATAAGAGCTCACAACGAGCCTCGTGGACAAGATTTTAAGTGTGACGGACAAGAGAGATGGAACAAGGATAGTGCTGGCATGAGATAATGTAATCAATATGAAGAAGAGATGCACGCAAGTCTAAAATCATGATGCAAGAAGATGGAACTTGGGCTAGTAGAGTAGAAGGTTTTGATACCATCGCAGAGAAATAATTTGAACCCATCTAGAGAGCTATAATAATTATATAGAAAAAATATGTACGATGCAAAGCATGTACAACTGATTTCCTCTTTTAGATTTGGCTTAAGAAGGAATCTAAAATTCTATTACTAAATGTTAAGCGTACATGCTCATAATCAAGCTTAATGGAAACTTAATTATGATATATTGTTAAAGCATATCAAGCTGATAGTAACCTTTGCCACATAGTAGTAGTGCTAAAAAATGTAAATACAAGAAGATTTCTAAACTTCAAACTGATATCCATGCATAGTTAAGGTGGCAGCAGGATGTTGTATCCACCAAGTGATCAAGTTTTTACATTATCCAGTTGAGTCCAAATGTATCATTAACCTAGTAGACTCCAGATGGACCAATATATAATCCAACAGCCCAGCAAAAGTCATTATATATTTTTATCATTTCTATTCATCTTCTTTTTCTCCTCCATTCAGCTTACTCGCGTTTTTGAACCTTAAAACTCTAGCAAATTCAAAATTGTAGCTAAGAGGTTCAATACTCCTCGAAATAAATATTCTAAAGGGGCGTATTCATAAGCTGCAAGTCCCCCCCTCCTAACCTTATCTACAGTCTACTACAGTCTTTCAAAAAATTAATTAGAAAAGAGTTGCCATAACAATATATCAAATCACTATTTCCCTAACTTAAGGGAAAAAAACTGGAAAGGTAAGCAAAATTCTTAGGACTACTACTGCCTTTAAATTGATACCGTGACCCATAACTGATCCGCCAAGTAAAGCAAAAATGCAGATGTCGCGCAGAACAAACATTTCATCCATGAAAAATAACCCAAGCACCGCCATAAGCTTCCAAAGATAAATAAAATCAACTATTCACATGTCCTCTCGTCCCAAAGAGATCATCACGAACTACAATATCTTGGTCAGAAACACTATATTTGAAGAAATGTAACAATAAAAAAACATGTTCCAATTGCATATCAATAAAATTCCACAACATGCCAGATGGATCGTATTATTTGTCTTCTTCTCAGCAAAAATTCAAATTCGAAAACTATGCCCCGGTAAGCAGTGCAAGAAAAACGGTAAATACCGCAGGCGAAGAAGATCTGCCCGGAGTGTTCCCACTCTCCAACATCGGCCCGCCTGCAGCGACGCCATTGCTAGTTCCAGTCGACCGAGTTGCAATTCTAAGCCCCGCCATCGCCGCTGCGGCAGGAAGCTCGTCGTCCTCATCAGCCGTGCTCTGCGACGCCATCACCTGCGCAAGCCTCGCGGCCGCCGCCTTCGCCGCCACATTCTGCGTCCTCTTAATCGTCGACATTCCCCCGGCGCCGGCAACCGTTAGCGAGGATGAGCGGTGGTGACCTGTTGAAATCGCCGGTGAAGACGAGGCCGTGTTACTGGAACCCCCACTTCTCTGTCGCGTATGAATCGGGATTGGCCCCCTTTTCCACTCCATTGCCACTTCTCAGCTCTTCCTCGCGTGGGTTGTAAGCCAGAGAGAGGGCTGGGACCGAGCGAAGAAAATCTAGCGCTGGGGATTTGGATAAGGGATGTAGTGTGCAGGTTGAAGTGATGGCGTTGAAGGCAGAGGAGATTTATAGATCTTGTGGAGTGCGGCTGTGGGGGATACCAGGTTCGCCGTGCCGCCGTGTTTTCAGCGGCGAGTCACTATGTTTTTTGGGTTAGTTGAGCGCTTCAGCCTCCAATCACGATATTTCCAACTACTATACTCCTAAACTATCCGAATAGTCGCGGGTTAGTCTTGATAATTTGCTTGGGCCATTTATAAACATACCGCCCAAGTGCTATATATTTACATATATATTATTTAAATTTGATGCATGCTGCAAAATTGGCCAATAGTAGATTAGTAAATTATTGTCTTGATATTATAAGAGAATTTAGTATACACTTAAATAAATAAATAAAACATTAGAGACACCTAAAAGAAAAAAATCATGAAGATTAGCCCAGTTGCAGAAATTCACTAGAAATTGGTGACTGCAGTTACAACTCTTTGTCCCACAAGACAGAAAATTGTTATATGTTCTCTTAAGTCACAACTTCAGTGCATATATTAACTTGTCCTAAGAAGTGGGCGGCGGTCCATCATGCTCAGCGGCGGCCTGTGATCAATGGTTGGTGGTCGTTGGCGACAAGTCAATGTTAGACTTCAACTCCTTCTCCAAGCTTCAAACTCTCTCTTTAGGTTTCATGCTCTCCTCATGACTCAAGCTTTCTTCTCCTCTCAATAGAGAGTAGTCATGGCTACAAGCCTGCAATTTATTAAGGAATATGAAACACTTCAAATAGATGGTCCGAAAAGATTTTATTGATCAGACGGCATTTGATGGACATTTGAGGGCCCTAAAGATGTCAGAATTGAGCGATCATGAACTCATTGGATTCGTTTTGTCGATACGCTCGATTTGATTATGAGCTCACCAGGTACGATATCTGTTTTAACCTTCCAAAATATGTATGAAAGCTTCCAATCATGGTTTATTGACTTTATCTGACTTGATTTGACTCGGATTATACCAATTTGGGTATTGTTAGGTTTGTCTCGTCGATCCAGTTTGTTTTAATGTTTTACTGTAACTTTGTTAAAATTAGACTTCTGGATTACTTATTATTAAAGTTTGAACATTTCATGCTAAAAAAATTTCCTCAAAATATGTGTCATGCCTTAAGATTCATGTCAGATGATAAAAGTTTATTCTTAGATATAAAAACTATATTTTCTTACATTTGTATCATTCAAATTTTACATATCACATAAAAAATATTACTATTTTAACTCTTAAAAAGTGAAACATGCATATTCAAGTAATGATAAGGTTGCCTTTATATAAAATTGAAGCTTGGGAGTCAGATATGTAAATTCATAGGCAATGAGTGATATTTTTTTTTAAAATACCTATTTTTTGGGAGCATTTACTTGTGTGCCGCCTATTTTATACTCATTTGCATGTCTAATAGATAAACTTTAGTGTTTATATTCATACCACCTAATTTTTAAAATTGCAACAAAAATAACATCATTTTAATTTTTTAAAAGTAAAATACACATTTTCTTGTTTATATGGTCTAGTATGTGTGTCAAAATTGACATTTAGATGTTGTGTATATAAATATGTAAGAAATTAGTGGATCTATGTAAATCTTCCTTGCATTTATTTTGGTTATGGATTGATTATAAAAGTTAATATGTTAGATATATAAATTCATAAAAAAAATGTGCAAGATCAATATAGAAGTTAGATGTGTAAATTCATTATAGCTTTTTTCCATGAATAGCTTGAAATAGGGATTGAATCTTAAAGATGACCTAAATCATGATCCTACTTTGAACAGTCTATTCACAATGCCCTGCTCCAATGTTTCCTCCTTCCAATGTTTGGCTCAATTTACCTTATTTGACCTTCACAATATCCTATAATGCTTCAATCAAACTTGATCTCCTTTGAAAAATAAATTTTGAAAATTATCTTCAAGGGTGTGGGAGGCCTTCATGGTTTAGGCTGTTAGAGCGGTTTGTTTTTTGTGAGGATTGTTCATTACTGTTTTTTAAACGGCGGTGAACATTTTGAGTGAATTTGATTTAATTTTTGAGAATTGTATAGAGTCCCCTAAGTGAACAAAAAAAATGATTTTGTTCAATCGTTGCAGCCGCCCAAGTTAGTTCCAATAGCTCAAATGGTGTTTGATTGATCATAATGGGGTGGTCTAGTGACATATTTTTCATCCGGCAATGAGGGTTTTGGAGTTATGGGTGAACCAATGTTTTGACTTTGATAGTTTTGTCACTTTCTTAGTCTTAATTAGTTTGAAAGCTCAAATGTGCCGTGGGTTGGCTTGAAGCAAAACCAAACATCTGCCCAAGGCAAATGAAGGGATAAATCTTACATATTTTGAGATTTTGGGTGAATTTGGAAGTATTTTGAGACATTATTAGAGCTTGTTCTCCTCAAATTGGGTTCAATCTATGTCCAAGTGACTTGGTTGGCCATTAAGGACCTAAGGGAATGATTGGGTAAGTTTTATTGTAATTCAACTTGGTTTGTTGGAATTTGACTCAATATAACTTATTCGAAAAAGTGAAAGTGATCATTAGTAAAAGGGACAATGTATTAAGAACCTCTGATGGAAAGAACAAGGATTATGACTCCATATATTAGTATGCAATAAGTTCAGTTTTTTAGTTTTCAACTTTGACCCGATTTTAAATAAACTAACATTCTTTTGCTTATGGTTAACATAATTTTTACAAAAATATATATCTATAAACTTTAAACATTTTAGTTTGTTTTTAGGAATGAGGGACTTCATACATTTCTCATTCACATAGCTAGGTCAGTTGTGCCAAAGACCCGTATCAACTTTTGTTTCAGCTACTTCAATGAATTTTCACATCTCATTAGTCATATAAATGATGCCTTTAATATTGTATTGAGTCGTTGCCACTACACCTTCAATAACATTTCACGAATCACCTACAAAGGTTGTCGGGTATCTTATCCTTGTATGCTGACACACATGAAATGGTTTTTTTTTTAATCACGAAACATGTATAATTTCATTCATTTTTTCAAATTGATTCATCTGACGACTTGATATTAGCATCAAATTTTATAATAATATTGCAGGCCTCATTATCCCTCAAATACACATTCCTTGCATTGAATGTAATTTTTAAACATCTATTTGTTAAGATAAGTAAAAATAGAGACACATGGATCTAATTTAAATGATTAAGTGTTGTATATAGATAAAATAAGAGAGTCGCATTGGATTTCTCATGCGAAGACATTTGTAGATATTTTATATATGGACTTTAACCATTAACCTTATTTAGAGCTTTGTAGTCACGTTCAAAATGACATTTCTTCCAACAGTTCCAACATTTTTCTCTATCTTTTTCTATTCCCGGCCTTGACATTCCTCTCTCATACTCTAATCTTTATCTCCTCATGTTTCTGTACAGATTCATTCTCATAGTTTCAACGAGGAAAGCATAATTTAAAGTTAGATCACTCACCTTCTTGTGAACTCCTTCATTGAGATCGATCTCACAACATCACAATTTAATTTTATATCATATGAAGAGTTGCCCACAACAGAAATCAATCTATCTCAGAAAACTTGGAATGAAGATAGGAATAACTTCTCCCTTACATCTTCATCAAATTTGATGCAAACATAGTACAATTGATTTGTCACATCGTTAAAGTTATTCAAGCGTTCAACCACTGAGTTTCAATCTGCAATTTTTATATTGAATAACCCCTTATTTATGAGACCTAGCTTTAACTTGAAAACTTCTCATACATTCTTGGCAGTGTAATCATGAGATCAATAATTTTCTTCTCATTCATAATGTTTAAAGAAATGTACGAGAGAAGTGAAAGTCAGATCAAACATATTGTTATTCGATCAAGAACTTTCCATTCTTGTAGAGTCATTGGTTTCTTGCTTCTCAGTGATTCCATCTGGTGGTAAATATAATTTCTTATGATGTAACAATTCTTCAATTTATACTTTATAGAAATAAAAATATGAACCATTGAACTTCTTAATCTTGTACCTCACTTCATGAGTTATTGCTCCTACCTAAACAAAAGATCTTCATAAAATCTCACTCTGATAACACTTGACGTGAAAGATACGAAAATTAATTTGAAAGTACCGAAACAAAATTTTAAACATGTGCATGTAAAATAAAAAATTCACATATATTACAAAGAACATCAATATTTAATGTGGAATAACCTAAGAATGGTAATAAATCACAGATCGACGTCGTAAAGAAAAAATAATATGAAAATGTTGATAATATTACAAATTACGCTAAACACAAGCCTCTTCACACTGTATAACTCAAGAATGCTCCTCCCTCTCACCACAATGCAATAGAAATTGAAATACCATCCTCAACATGCACGCTTTCAATCAATAACATCGAAACTTTAATTAGAGAATTGCAAAAAATATGATTACTAGCGTTTGAACGCTACAACATGACATTGCAACGCTCCTACAAGCGATGGGCCATGATACACCTAAAATATATAGTGTTTTTATACACATTTTTATATATTTTTTTGAGATATTACGCTTTAATGAAATGTATTTGTGTGTTTTTCTTTCATGTACAATAAAATGGATGAAATATGCTAAAATGAGTGAAAAATGGTTAAGTTTGGAGCAAAAATAAAGAAATGTGAAAAAATGAACTGGGGCGCCTAAGCGGCAGAAGTGGTTGTTTGATGATTCATTGATTTTAGACGAATTTTTTAAGAGTTGTTTGAAGCAACCCTTAGTAAAAACGTGGGAAATATCCCATGGATACAAAAATTCATTCAATTGTCTATTGAGGTGGCAACTTATAGAATATTCGTTGAATAAAGACACGTTTTGAAGGGACACCAATACATCTTTTGGATTTTTATTAAAAGAAGTCTTTGATCGTCAAGATAAGAGGTCAGCCACTCATTAGATTTTATAGCCATCATCCATCCATCGTCGTCGCCGCCGCCGCCGCCGACAACAGTCTTTTTATTTTGAGTGTTTAGTTTGTATTGAGAGTAAAGGAAGATAATTCAAAGAAAATTCAAGATATTTGGTGGAGAAGATTTAAGATAAGTGTTTATATTTGTGACAGCACTTGGTTTTAATTTAGATTTATTGTTTGTGTGCATGATTTCTACTTTTAAACTAATGTGCGGTTTTGTTTTCTCCATGGATTCTGAGTAGTTTTCTTTATCTTTTTCCTTAAAATGATAAGTTACTAAGTATTGAAAGAAAGTTGTGTGAAATAAAATACTTCAGTGTTGGAAGAAGTTGTGATGATTTGAAACCTTGCACATCATTTACTTCTTGATTTGGCCAATTATGATGTTAATACCTGTTGTTTGCGAGAACGTGTAAGATCTGAGATGGTATTGTCTCAGTCAACAAATGGTTATAATCATATATTGATTTCATGAATGTGAATGTAGTTCACAGAGTTGAGGACAAATAAATAGGGAAATAAACTTTTCAAGGGTGTAGAATTAGAGAACTTTAGAGCGACAGGCTAAAGCCTCCAATTTGATTTATAGTTTTAGGTTATGATACAAGATGTTAGCCCCCACATAGAGGGAGAAGAGGGAACTCTAGAGTGAGAGCTATTATTCAAATATCTTCCTTACCTGACTGATCTTCAAGACTATTAAAATTATAGATTAGTCAATGTTCTTTATAACATATCTAATAAAGAAAATGAATATTATTGTTCATATTTGGCACAACACGTTTAGAATACTTTCACAATATAATTTCTCTACTTATTACCGATTCATGATAAGAAAAAATATACTTTACTCATACTGTCATCATCTTGCAAATATTTATTTATGTTAATCAGTTGCTTACTTTATTTTCATAAACAAAAAATTACAAAAGAATCAAATTTGCATGAATCAAATTTGCATTCCTATTTAATCAAATTTGCATTCCTATTTTAGCCTCTTAAATTTAAGTAAAAATATTTTGCAAAGTAGATTTTTTTTCATCTAAAATTTCTAAATTTTATAGTTTTAAAGTGCATATTGCTAATCTCCCCGTGGGTTCGATATTCGGGGCTTAATAAAAAAGGTCTGTATTACTTGATAACGATGTGTATATCTGCGTAATATATCATATTTAAATATTATAATTGTATTCTTATTTATTTCATAGTGGAAAACTTACTTAGCTTTTGCTTTGGATCAAGATTTTGACTTTGTTGCAAATTAAGAATAACTATTAAAGGAATTAAGCTATAATCCCATACAATGAATTTTACTTATATATAGAGAGTCAGAATCAGGCCACTAACCTCTAGTTGTTGTAATGTTATGTTATGGTGTTTTTGAATTTAGATTGAACATTATGGAGCTCCCCTCGATGCGAAAGTGTCGAGTGCTCGGGTTTCCGTACATGGAATAAGCTATGCAACATACCTTCAGATCTATGGGGCACTACTGTTGTAACCGATAGGTTGTTGCATCATGGCGTTGTGACGCCCAATGCAAAAAATAATTATATTTTAGGGCAGTGCTCTCTAACCCAAAAAAGGGGACATCCTTGAACCCCTATCAAACTCACATTAAACAAGAACAATAAAATTTAGAGTTTTTGGTGAACAATTAATTGACACAATCAGGCTTTTATATAATAACATACTAGTCATTGTTGTCGGACTACTGTTGCATGACCGCCATTGTACCACCATTGTTGAGTCCTTGTCATCCCCAACATCCACTAACTGATTATCGCGTCTGTCTAATCAAAATAGCCGGACCGCCGCCATCATCACCGATGGAACGCCTCCATCTGACCATTGCCGCCGCTATACATAATACATCCATTGTAAGACCGTCATGGCTGAACCACTGTTGTCTGACCACCACCATCATCATTGACGGATTTTCGCCATCAGGTCGTAGCCACAGCTGAACTCGCGCTGCCCAACAACCATTAACACCGTCGATAAACCACCATTGGCACATCACCTTTATAAGCCACATTGTTATTAGATTTTTTTGGCACATAACCTCTACCATCAACATTCCTTCACAACAATCAAGCCACTGTCATTTACCAAATGTTTCCCACTACTTTCATCATTTGTACAATATTACTTCTCGCTATTCAATGGCAAATAAAGTCCTGCAGCCTAAATGTGCATAATAAAATCATTTCAATTGGGGCTCGACCCCATGGTATTTGACGTTTTAGGTTATCAGAGTAAAAACCCACAGTGTCTCCTTGATCAGCTTTTATTTTATCTTGCGCGCATGACAAATCTTTGTGTAGCATCAAAACATTATTATATCACCATACTGTTGCAAATTTACCAGCACACAACAATTTTAGTTGCGCTTATTTGTTAACTAATATTATATATCAGATTATAAATTAAATTTAGAGTCACATTTGATTTAAAGTTATTTAAATATAGTATTCATTATAAAACAATATGACTTTTATATAAGAATTAAGAAGCTGACTGTATAAGCAATTGAAACTTTAGTGTGATTCAAATCATTCTCATCAAACCTTGCATAATAATGTACGAGCTTACTTGGGTTGACAAGCACCAACATGCTCATTTTTTCCTAGATATTTGGCAACACGCTTATAAAAAACTATACGAATGAAATATAGAAAGCCAAATATTGCATTATTGTCTTTAATGTTGAATACAATGAGATAATTTCTAAAATACTACAAAATGTTCCAAAATTTGTAATAATAAACACTAATAAGCTTTAATATACCACTCTAAAATTTGTTGTGGTGTCTTACATTAAAACATAACTTAGTATTATATACCATCTTACACTTAGGGCTGTCAATTTGGCTCGTTGTTCGTGAACAGCTCGTGTTCGGCTCGCTACAACGCATGGTGTTCGGCTCGTTCGTAAAGCCTAACGAGCCAAACACGTACAAATTTTTAAGCTCGAAATGTAAACGAGCGGAACACGAATAACAGTTTATTCACTCGTGTTTGGCTCGAAAAAAAATTATATAACTTTTTATATAACAATATATTACATATATTATTTATATAATAATATATTATACATATTTATGTCTATGTTTAAATCATAACACCTCATTTGACAATGTGATTAGTGTCTTCTTTTGTATATATTTGATCCATGTTCGAATCCCACACTTTACATCTATTTTTCTCAATTTTAGTTTAACGAGTCAATTTCGAGCCGAACACAAACACAAATATTTAAATCGAGCGCCGAACACGAACACACTGTTCACGAGCCGATTTCGAACACGAGCTATTTCGAACGAGCCGAACACGAGCCTAGCCTGAGCTCGCTCAAGCTCAGCTCGTTTACAACCCTACTTACACTATACCAAATGTAGGGCTACCTAGAGGTAAATGAGATTCATTGATTCACTTAGATGGACAAACAACATCCAGGTTATTTGTAAAACCTAACTTTTTTAGAGTAAATGATAAATTATAGTTCATCTCGGATGCTGATCCCTATAGCACAGTATGAATCTAGCAATATTCTATCAGTGTTCTAATCATTTTTTTTTCTTTTTTTAGGCATGACTATAATTATCGTAATATAACACTTCAAATCAATTATAAAAGAGATAATAAATGCAAAAGTTATCCGCTTAAATAATGATCAAACGATATTCAAATATATTATAACTCTATAGCCAAATAATGTTTAAACAATTTATGCTAAAATCTCATACTCATAATCAAAATATTATTTGAACCATATTGAAATCTTATTTCAATCTCAATCGAACTTTATTCAAACTATTCGATACACCATTCAATAAATTTCCAACATCCGACAGGCCTTAATATACATTTTTATGATAAAAAACTTATGAAATTGAAATTTTATTAGTTAAGGATTTGTTTGACATCATTTTTATTTCCTTCTTTTACTTTTATTTTTTATTTTTTATTTTTATTTGTATTTAAAAATAGGTTTATCTAATATATTTCTTCGCATTATTTATTTATTTTTATTTTGGAATACAACTTAAATTATTTTTTAAAATATTAAAAACATATAAAATTTATTATAAGTATGTTAAAAACAACTAAATAAATTATTACAATATAAATATATTTTATTTCAAAATAAAATATATATAAGAAAAGCCCAAACGGCCCCTATAAATATCCCTCGGAAGTTCTGTGTTTGCCCTATATCTGGTTGCGTGGCGGGAGGTAAAGTTAACATCACACTTCGTCGAAGCTTATCGCCGCCAAAATTTCCGGCCATCCTTCACATACTTTGGCGGCTTAAACCTCCGGCTTCGAACGTGTCCTCTTCTTGAAACGTATCACTTTTCTGGCGCTTTATTTGAATGCGAATGGATCGAGCTCGCCAGCTTTGCTCAACATCGAAACCCCGAGCGAGGCCTTTAAGAAGATTAAGATATAATCTTCCACATTCTACGCTGCATCGCAGGAGGAATCTTCAGCTGCAGCCTCACTCTAATGGCAGTCACGCCACTTGACCTTATTAAGTGATACGAAGGTGAGTTTCCCTTGCCATGGTTATGGTTCCTCTTCTCACGCTGTTCTGGATGGTTGATGTTGTTGTGGCTAGTCTGATCCGAGTGTTATGTCGATTATCCTCGGATATATATGCGACTTGCTTGCTCGATGCCAATCTCATTTTAATCAATTTTCTCCTATCTTTTGTGTTAGCAAGGTTCCATCATAACCCACAAACAGATAAAATAGGATCCAACAGTGTACCTCAAGCTGCAACACGCAATTGAGAAGATTCTTACCTTTTGATCAAGTTTCACGACTCCTTGGAGGTTGGCAGTTTACTTTTAATTATTTGTATTGCTTTTTGTATTTCCCCAATTTAATAGCTGCAACTTAGAGTTAAGGATCGGTGAAAATTTCTATGATTTATTATGGTCAAATTGATCATATCTTGCCTTCGACTTGAAAATGCTTTTATGGTTCGTTATGTTTTTTAATTTTTTCATTGAAGTTTTTTTTGCTTGAGCATCGACCAAGATTTGTGCAAGATCTCTGCTATTGTCTATTTCTCATTTGAAGAGAACAACTGGATGTTTGTTTGGTTTTTGCATGTTTATGGACTGTTATGACTGGTCTGTCATTGATACTCAATTTATAGAACTGCACCTGTATATGTAGACTTATTTTTGTAGCATGTTAATGTATTTTTCTGGCTATTTGATGATCCATTTATATTTTCCTCGATGAATGGATCCTTGCATGCCTCATTTGATCCGAAGATTCATGCTCGCGGTTTCTTATAGCAGAAGATCAATAATACTTACTACATAGAAGAGATGCTCATTTTTTTTTTTAACAACTGAAACAATAATTAGTAATTACTATCTCCAATGCTTGATTTCTTCTCCCCTTTTCTTCACTATTAGGAGTGCTCAACATTGGTCAGTTGGTCCTGTCAAGATGTTTGTAGCAGAGCAATATAACTTGTAGGTTTATACATCAACCACATTCCAAATCTATTTCCGTTGTAACTCTTTTCGTTTTTTGGGTAGATCACCAAACTTCCTTTATGTATATTTAAAGAAGGATTATACTATCTCATATTTAATTTTTGATTACTGGCATTCAGATAGTGGAAATGCTCAGTAACCCCTTTTATCTTGATTTTGGATTAGTCTGTGAGTGTCTCTGACAGTTTCAGTTATAAATGGCCTTTATTGCGAGGAAGTATGGCTTAATACAAATTTGCAGATGATAAAAGTTGGCGTTGCAACTCTACCTTCTATCAACGCTTGTAATCTAGCCAAGAATGTTCTAGAAAATTACTTAATGGGCCCTTTTATCATTTTTTCTTAAATTTTTTAGTTGTATCTCTCTTAAAAGGTGTTATTAATATTGTATTGGTGTAAGGCATCTCATGGTATTATTTTGTAGCTTTTGACGATTTTCATTACGTTTAACCTTTAACTGCTGCTTAAAGGTATGCGGAAAATGTGTGATTTTTGCTTGGTGGACTTTTTTTTCCTATTCTAAATTCATTTAAAATCATTTTTGCTCTTTTTTTTTAAGTCTATCTATTAGTTTTTTTGTCCAATGGGCTTGTCAAAATCATCCATGAGCCTGTCTTTATCTTCGAGAAACTTAGTCATTTTCTCCAAGGATTGCCACTCATGTCTGTGTCCTTATGTATTTTAGCATGCATTTGTTGATTTTTTAGAGCATATGTTGATTTGTTGTTGTCTTCGAGTTGCACAGAAGATGAAGATGACTTACTTTATTGGATTTCAATTGTTTTTCTTTTTCCATTTTCTTTGACTATTTTAATATTTTCTTCTTACAACTCTTGTCCCTGCACATAGTTCTTCTTGAAATCACATATTGATTTTGAGATTTTATGTGTGCGTATAATAATTTTTCCTCTCTGCTTGAGTCTTCTCCTTTCATTTGTGGAGTTGTCCTCCAATGAAGTGGTCTACATTATAATGCAATTTAAGATTACTTTTCTATTTATCAATGTTTAAATTGATTTTATGTGTGATTTTGTTAAGTTTGATGATGTTGTAATCCATGCTTGATAGAGCTCTTAATCAATTATAAGTTCATTTGTTGACTAATAAAATTTAAGTCTAGATTTGAATGGAATTTTCCCGTTACTTTGGTTATCGAAACTGCACCTCCGATGCTAGGATTATTAACCCCCATTTTTTGCTTGTCTCTTGGTTCTAAATAATATATTTGTCTGCATATTTTGTCGACATTTTATAACATAAGAATTAAAAAAGGAAATTTTCTGCACTCCATAAGTCCCAATTGGAAGGCACTTTGTTGACATATTTGCCAAGAGGCTCAACAACCCTCGATTGAGGGATATTTTAATTAAAGTTGAAATGGTAGACCTTTATCATTCCAAATTGATGGGGAGTGTTAAGAGCCGTTAGGTCAATAAGGTTTAGTAAAGAAAAAATAGTTGTCATGTATTTATTTCCATAATGTCCATCAATGATGGAGATAATGAAATGCAAAGAAACACCTATGGTTACGACATCGACTCTTCTTGAAGCACTAACCTATGGTTATGAAATGCAAAGAAACATGCTACACCTATGGTTATGGCATCGGCTCTTCTTGAAGCGCTAACCAACATGCATTCCTCCCCCATTCTGGAGCATTGGGATACTAGCCAGTCACATAGACCGTCATCTCCTCTCTTATGGTCTCCCCCACTCGGGTTGGATCAAAGTGAATGTGAATTTGACGTTTCTACCTAATAATAGGGCCAGTATGGGGGTGATCCTTCGGGATGAAACTGGGAGCTGATTCGTGCTAGGTGGTGTTAACTGCAACAATGGGATAGTGAATTTGTAGATCTGCAAGCTATCGTCTCTATTAGGGATATCTTCCAACCGTGGATGCTGGAGGCCAAATGTATTCGTGTTGAAGGCGATATTGCTAATATTATTAACTACATGAGGGTTCGATGCCTCAAAGGATTTGGAAGGGCAATTCAGAGTTATGCTACATTTTTGCTTTTCTTACTCGTTTAAGACATTATTTTTCATTTTGTTCATCTGGAGCTCTACCTATCCATTTTTGTGCCCAAAGGGCTCTTTCATATCGTTTTTCTCTTACTTAGGTTCCTGAATATTCAAAGATTTTACCCTCTTTCAAGATGACAGGGCCTCTTTTGATCGGCATGTTTTTTTGTATCTTCTGTATATCATTTTTAATGATTAATGCAAAATGCAACATTTCATTTGAAGAATTCATAGCTTATAAGCAAATACCTCTTCCGCATATTCATATACAAAAAAAAAAAAAAAAAAAAAAAAAAAAAAGACCCCGGGGTGGGCACTATTTGCCCACGGTTGGCCTCATTTGCATGAATCAACAATCACTAAATAGTCAGACCATATATAATTAAAGTTTTTGTTTATTATCGTACCTATTTATTTATTTTGTATAAATTTGTATAAATACACAGTGAAAGAATGAATAAGCCAAGCTTTTCTAGCCACTTCTACCAATGCAATGGAGTTTAATTGTGTTTTCCCGTTGCATTGTGTACACTAGGTTTAAGTGAGCTGCCCTACCCACCCAGTGGCCTATGGTATTGGTGCATGATACTCCAAATCAATTCTGTGTTGCTACAACCTGCGTGTATTTTCATAATTTCCAAATTGATTATTCTAAAGCAAAGTTGTCTCTATTTTGTGACTACAGCCAGCAAACAAGGTTGCACAAGATGAGCAATGTCTAATCATGGCAGTTTCCTAAGGACTACTAAAAAATTAGCCCTGTATACTGAGGTAGGAGCAAAGAGTTGTGGATCATTTAGTCTTTTGATTTGGAATTAGATTGGGTATGAAAGCTCCACCTATAAAGCTTGGATTCTTAGCCCCTTCTATCTACCATTAGTAGTGCTTGGCAGTGTTCTCTTGGTTCTAGATGATATGTCTGCATTAGAGCAATATAACCTATCTATAGATTTTATCCTCAACCACATTTCAAAATTATTTCTACTGTAACTCATTTTATTTTACTTGTAAACTTGTAAAATTCCTTTATTTGATATAAGGATTATGGCATCACTTTTTTAAAACTTGATCACAAATTTAGATGGTGATAATGCTTACTAACATCTTTAATTTGGATCCTCGTTTAGCCTGTTCACATCTCCAACTATTTTCCTTGTTTATATCTTTTGCTGTGGGGAAATTTAACCAAACACAATTTTCTAGATGACATTATTTTCACCCATGTCCAATTGTCCTTATGTTTCTTTCACCTGCATCGACTAATGTTGACCTTTTTTTTGATGAGGTCTATATTCTCTCCTCTCCCACTCCTGTAGAGCCTAGGATATAGGCTTAGGACTTCCTTAAGAGGATACCCAGATGGTTGAGACTCGAAATTAGAACTCAAACTAAATTCTTACTACTTTTGATTTGAAATATGCTTAGCCTTAATTCTTAGCCCATACTTTGACGTTGAGTTAATCATGACTAGATTGTTAAAACTAAAGGCCGAGTACTCATAGATCTTTGACATGAATTTTATGTGACCCATATATCAATCATGAGTAAATGAAATCAGACAGAATTAAGAGTTTATTTCTTTGCAGTGCTACATTAAATCCCTTATTTTAATTGCACGGATTCTATCCTTTTAGCTGAATATTTAGATTATAAATATGTTTTATTAAGTTACCTAAAATAGATTATGCACTTTATTATGTACATAAAATAAATAGTACATACTATTATTTATGGCAATGAAAGCTAAGGAAAGAGGATTCAACCTATTTTCTCAAAAATTGACATGGTATCGGAGCCACGTCGAATATTTAGGGTCTGAATCTTTGGAGTTTTCAAGGTTGGAATCATTTTTCTTCTTCGACTGCAAATCTCCGAGTCTCGCCAGGACTGCTCGTCTGCTTTATCTAAACCCTCGTTTGCTTCGTCTGCTTCGTCTAAACCCTCGTCCTCGTCTGGACTTTTCGATTGCTTCGTCTGTTCCGCTTGACTGCTTCGGCGTATTCGCCTGGATTGCTCTCTTGCTCGTCTACTCGCCTGAATTGCCTGCTTGTTCCGCTTGACTGCTTCGTCTACTCGCCTCAATTTTAGGGATATTTACATACAAACGCCCAATCCATATGTATTCACAAGAAATGCGATAGATATGCAAAATTTTTTATATTTTGTTTATTCAATTTTAATCAAAGTTTGAACTTTATTTTATTTTTTTTAATTTCTATTTGAAGCTCTTCTTATTCTAGTTTTTGGTTCATTGTAAGTTTAAAATATTGTTTAGCTCAAAGCTAAAGCTAGGT